GGCCTTGAACCAAGTCCAAAAGGATCTAACACACCTAATTAACCACAATATATCAAATACATTATCATATACCAAAATTTAACCCCTCAACGGCCAATTTTCACATTTCATAAATTTTCACAATTGTCACATTTTTGGCCTACTTGGCCTTTGTGCCACCAAAATTTCATCTGTCCATATTCATAACATAGTCCCAACACAACCTTAACCCCAAATTACTCATTTCCTCATAATTCCACCCATAGGCTAAAGTTCACAAAAAATTCACAACATTCATTATAATTTCTACACTTTCAAAGTATGCATGCAAACCTATGGCAACTTATTTACAGTCTTAACCTCTAGAAGTTTATATTATTTCATCACATTTCCTTAGCTTCTAATCTATTTTGGTTTAATTGTATATGTTTTTATTGCCCAATTTAGGAAAATATGCATTTTGTTTTGGGATTGTGTTCTTGACTTTAATTTGATATTTTTAGCCTAATTTCTTGTTATTTTGATTGAAGTTTTGATTAGAAGCATTTCTGGAGCTTTGTGAATGTCTTTGGAAGGCTCTTGGATGAAGAGATCAAGAGCAAAATGAATATTTTCGTTAGCTGTAAAAACAGTGCAAAACTGCCAAAGTCGTCCCAAAGTCGTGACTTTCGTTCGCGACTTTCACCGCTGTTAGAAAAACGCTGCATTTCATTTATCAGAAATTAGTTGGCTAGGATACATATAAGCTGAGAGCTCGACCTAGAACGTATTCTTTAGACTTTTAGATGCTTTTGGAGCTTGGTTGTGCTAGGGTTTGGACATTGGAAGAGTTGGGATCAAGAGATTGAAGCTTTGAAGACATTTGGAGCTCATTTTTTTTGGTTTTTCTATTCCTCTTCCCTTTCCTCTCTTGTAATCTGAAATGGGTCCACTTATTTTGTATATTTGTAGCTTGTGGATGATTATGAGTAGCTAAACCCTTTGTTCTAGGATTATTTGGAACCCTTGTATGGATTAACACTATATTTCTCCTCTCGTTTTGTGATTAATGATATATATGTGTTTAGTTTACTCTTTCCTTAATGCTTCTACTTGATTGGCCACCATTTAGATGTTGGGTTCACTTAATTGATGCTTGAAAGGGCTAGGTTGAGTGTAGAACTTGGATAAAATTGTGTAAGAACTTGATATTTGCATGTTGAATGGATGGTTTTGCTAGTAAGGTAGAGATATACTTGCTGGCCTTGCATAGCCACATTAGGGTTAGTGTTTAAATTTGAGTTTTATTAATTGTAACAAGAGATTGGGCAATTAATTTAACTAAACACTTGTTCATGACTTGAGAGAGCTTGTCCAAGTATTTTTAAAACCCTAAGTTAGCACTGATTTTCATTAAAAGCATTTATGAGAGGAGGTAATTTTGGTGTTATGAAATGCAAGGGGGACAATTAATCCTAGGTCCTAAATTGTGTTGGAAGTTTGTGAATCACTCACTTTTCTTTATTTTCTAGAGTTAATTTCATTTGCAAAATCATTTTCACCTAACTTTGTGTAGCTCAACTTGATCAAATTTACTTAGTCTTTTGCTTGATCATTGTTTTTAAACAAATCCTCGAGGGAACGATACTTTACTTTCATTATATTACTTGCTATGATCCGTACACTTGTGGTAAGTAACAAGTTTTTGGCGCTGTTGCCGGGGAATTGCTTTTGAAAATATTTTGATCAACCTTAGACTAGTAATATTAGATTTCGTTTGAGCTTTGTAGATATTAGTTCTAGTTTTTTATTTTGTCTTTATTCAGTGCTTTTGTTTTAGTTTGATACTTCTTGGATTATTTCTTCTTCAGGTACCCATTTGGCATATGCAAGTCATAGGCCCAGAAGGATTGGAAGTGATACTTGAAAGATTGACAATCTTTGAAGAAACTGAGTCTCCTAATTCTAAAAGAACTCCTGAAACTCAATCAGGAAACATGGCAGAGGACCAGTATGACACCACCTCAGTCAATGACTTTGCTAACCAGAATCTGAGGGGTACTCAATCTTGTATTCGAATGCTGGAGTTTCAAGCACATACTTTTGAGATCAAGCCCGCCATGATCACAATGCTTCAAATGAATGGTGTGTTTCATGGTCTATTCAATGAAGATGCTAACAAGTACTTGATGTATTTTGTGAAAGTATATAATTCTTTCAGACAAAATGGGGTGCCTAAAGATGTCTTGTGCTTGCGGTTATTTCCAATTTCTCTACAAGACAAGGCTAAAGAATGGTTCAACAATCTTCCTGAAGGTTCTATTGGTTCATGGGAGGATTTTGAGAACAAGTTTAGAGCCCAATTCTTCTCTGATGATAAAACGGTGGAAGTAAGAGATGAATTTCTTAGCTTTAAGCAATATCTAGAGGAACATCTCTATGCAGCTTAGGAGAGATACAAGATATTGATGAAGAAATGCCCTAATCATGGGGTGGATAAATGGGTAGTGATTCAGATCTTTTGTAATCGTCTGAATCCATCTTCGAAGGCCATGGTTGATTCTATCACAAATGGGGGATATCGGAATGTGCCTGTCAATGAAGTTTTTCGCCTCTTAGACCAATTGTTTGTGAACAACACTCAAAACATGGATAGAAGGAATACATCAATGGTGACTAGTGCTAATGATGATTCCTCTTCCCAGATTATATCCATCTTGAATGCAATGAACAAGCATTTTGATGTGTTGGAATCTCAAATGTAAAGGGAAAATTCTCATAATGTGCTTGCTGTCCAAGCCATTCCAACTGTGTGCAATCAATGCAATAATATGCACATGCCCAATCAATGTCCTCTTTATATGACCACTGAGTTTGTCAACTATATGGGTAAGTTTCAAAACCCTCATAACAACCTTTACTCTCAAACCTACAACTCAGGATGGAGGAATCATCCTAATTTTTCATGGAGTCAAGGGAATTCTTCAAATCAACCTTCATCTTCCAATGTTAAGCCAATTCACCCTTCGGGTTTTCAAGTTCCACCAAAGCCAATGCCGGTTAAGGAAGAGGAGTTTAGAATAGAGAAGATGTTAGCACAAATCTTGAGTAATCAAGAGTCTGCAAGAATTGAAACTAAGGCAACTCTTACTCTTCATGATACCGCAATCAAGAATCTCGAAGTACAAATGGGGCAATTGGCTTCACAAATGAATGCTATGTCAAGAAGTAATCTCCCTAGTGACACCATTCCAAATCCTAAAAGGGATGGTAAGGAGGAGTGTAAAGCAATCACTTTGAGAAGTGGGATGCAATTACCCGAAGTTCTCATGCCAAGTGCAACTGGTGTGAGTAGTGGTGCTACTAAGGTGATTGTTGATAATGAAGTGATTAATGAAGAAATTATGGTTGAAGAGTGTGACAACTCGAAGAATAATCAAGAAGAGAAAAAGAATGAAGATCAAGCCAAAAAGGTTTGTGATGAAAAAAAGCAACTAGAGGCCAAGCCAAAATATGTGCCTCCACCACCTTTTCCTCAAAGGCTTAGGAAGCAACAAGAAGATGGCCAATTCAAAAAGTTTCTTGATATGTTCAAGCAATTACATATCAACATTCCTTTTGTGGAAGCTTTGGAGCAAATGCCCAAATATGCTAAGTTCATGAAAGATGTGCTCTCTAAAAAGAGAAGGTTCAATGAGTTTGAGACGATTGCTCTAACCAAGAGTTGTACGGATATCATTAAGCAACTACCTCAAAAGTTAAAGGATCCCGGTAGCTTCTCAATTCCGTGTCATATTGGGAATAAATTCTTGGGTAAGGCATTATGTGATCTTGGAGCTAGTATCAATCTTATGCCTCTCTCTATTTTCAATAAATTGGAGTTAGGTGAAGCTAGACCAATAACCTTGACTTTGCAATTAGCAGATAGAAGCTTGGCTTATCCACGTGGTGTTATTAAAGATGTTCTTGTAAAAGTGGATAAATTCATTTTTTCGGTTGATTTCATTGTCCTTGATTGTGAGGTGGATCATGATATTCCTATTATCTTAGGAAGACCATTCTTGGCAACCGCTAGAACCTTGATTGATGTTGAAAAAGGTGAGCTTACTATGAGGGTAGATGATGAGCAAGTCACTTTTAACATGCACAAGTTGATGAAATCTCCCAATGATCTTGAGCAATGCTTCTTTGTTGATATGCTTGATTAAGTTGCACAAGAAGAATTCAATGAGGCAATTCCTAATGATTTTTTAGAAGCCTTATTGCTAGGAGCTCAATTAAAGACTCAAGATGGAGAAGAGTGTATGGCTATCATGAATGCATCACCGGTTTATCTTAGAAACCGTGTCCAATTTGAATCTCTAGATTTATCTTCTCTTGGTAGACCATCTTTGAAATCCTCTATTGAAGAGCCACCATCTCTTGAGTTGAAGACATTACCTTCTCATCTTCAATATGTCTATTTAGAAGCTAACAACACTTTGCCAGTGATTATTGCTGCAGACTTAAATGAACAATAAGAAGAGCAACTTGTGGAAGTCTTGAAAGCTCACAAGAGAGCTATTGGGTGCACTATTGCCGACATAAAGGGTATTAGCCCTTCAATTTGCATGCATAAGATTTTTCTTGAAGATAATCATAAAACTTTTGTGGAACATCAAAGAAGGTTGAATCCTATTATGAAGGAAGTTGTGAAAAAGGAGATCTTAAAATGGCTTGAGGCAGGCATTGTCTATCCTATTTCTGACAGCTCTTGGGTGAGCCCAATTCAATGCATTCCAAAAAAGGGAGGCATGACTGTAGTGGCTAACACCCACAATGAGCTAATTCCTACTCGCACTGTCACTGGGTGGAGAGTATGCATGGATTACCGGAAGCTAAATGCGGCTACTAGGAAAGATCACTTTCCTCTTCCCTTTATCGACCAAATGCTTGACAAATTAGCTGGAAGGGAATTCTTTTGCTTTCTTGATGGGTATTCAGGCTATAACCAAATTGCCATAGCTCCAGAGGATCAAGAAAAAATGACATTTACTTGTCCTTATGGAACTTTTGCTTTCAAGCACATGCCTCTTGGGTTATGCAATGCACCGGCCACTTTTCAGAGGTGTATGATGGCAATTTTCTCTGATATGATTGAGCAAACTATGGAAGTCTTCATGGATGACTTCACGGTTTTTGGGGATTCATATGAGGAGTGTTTAATCAACTTGGCCAATATGTTGAAGAGATATGAAGAGACCAACTTGGTCTTGAATTGGGAAAAATGCCACTTCATGGTTAAAGAGGGCATAGTTCTTGGCCATAGAGTCTCCAAAAATGGCTTGGAGGTAGATAGAGCCAAAATTTCAGTGATTGAGCAACTTCCTCCACCTACTAATGTTAAGGGTGTAAGGAGTTTTCTTGGTCATGTGGGATTTTATCGCCGCTTCATCAAAGACTTCTCCAAAATAGTCAAGCCTCTTTACACTCTTCTTGAGAAAGATGTTGAATTTAAATTTGATGATTCATGTTTGAAAGCATTTGAAGAGTTGAAGAAAAGACTTGTGTCTGCACCTATCATGATGGCTCCTGATTGGAATTTTCCTTTCATTGTGATGTGTGATGCTAGTAACTTTGCTGTGGGTGCTATGCTTGACCAAAAGAAAGAAAAAGTGCTTCACCCAATTTACTATGCTAGTAGAATACTTGATGATGCTCAAGAAAACTACACCACAACTGAGAAAGAGCTTCTTGTAGTGGTGTTTGCTTTTACCAAGTTTAGATCGTATCTTGTGGGTACTAAAGTGACAGTTTACACTGACCATTCAGCTTTGAAGTACCTATTTAGCAAGAAGGAGTCTAAGGCAAGGTTAATTCAATGGGTACTACTTCTACAAGAATTTGACTTGAAGATTATTGATAGGAAGGGTGCTGAGAATCAAGTGGCAGACCATCTTTCTAGGTTGAGTACTGATGCTCAACTTAAAGGTAATGTTATTATTGATGAAGCTTTTCCTGATGAGCAACTCTTTAAGGTTGACAATATTCAAACACTGTGGTATGCAGACATTGTCAACTATCTTGTTTGTGGCATCTTGCCATTTGATTTGAAGTTTCATCAAAAGAAGAAGTTTCTCTATGATGCTAAGTTGTATTTTTAGGAAGAACCCTATCTGTTTTGCCAATGTGCTGATCAAATGATCAGAAAGTGTGTTCTTGAGTGTGAGCAACAAGAAATTCTAAGATGTTGCCATTCTTCTAACTATGGAGGCCACTTTGGGGGTGACAAGACAGCATCTAAAATCTTGCAAAGTGGTTTCTATTGGCCCTCTTTAGTCAAGGATGTATATGACTTTGTTTTAAAGTGTGATAGGTGCCAAAGAATGGGTAATATCTCTAGAAGGAATGAAATGCCACTCAACAACATGCTTAAAGTAGAATTGTTTGACGTGTGGGGTATAGACTTCATAGGACCATTTCCTATGTCTTTCAACAATCAATATATCCTTGTGGCTGTAGACTATGTCTCAAAATGGGTTGAAGCGGCGGCATTTCCCACTAATGATGCTAAAGTAGTGCTCAAGTTCTTGAAGAAGCATATTTTCACCCACTTTGGAGCACCAAGAGCCATTGTGAGTGATGGTGGTACTCACTTTTGCAACAATCAATTTCAATCTCTCTTGAAGAAATATAGTGTCAAGCACAAGGTTGCACTTGCCTACCATCCTCAAACTAATGGGCAAGCTGAGATTTCTAATCGGAAATTAAGAAGATACTTGAAAAGACGGTAGGAGTGGCAAGAAAAGATTGGTCCACCAAACTTGACGATGCATTATGGGCTTATCGAACGGCTTACAAAACTCCTATTGGCATGTCTCCATACCGGTTAGTTTTTAGGAAAGCATGTCATCTATCGGTAGAGCTAGAACATGGTGCTTATTGGGCTATTCAAAAGCTCAACTTTGATTTTAAGGCCGTGGGTGAAAAGAGACTTCTCCAACTGAATGAACTTGATAAATTTCGGTTAAATGCCTATGAGAATGCTAGGCAATATAAAGAGAAGACAAAGAGATGGCATGACAAGAAAATTTTATGCAAAGCATTTGAGCCAGGCCAAAAAGTACTCTTGTACAACTCTAGATTGAGATTATTTCCTAGCAAACTCAAGTCTAGATGGTCGGGACCGTTCAATGTGGTCCACGCATTTCCTCATAGTGCTATTGAGCTAAAGAGCAGTGAAGGAGAAAGATTTAAAGTCAATGGACAACAAGTGAAGCATTACTGGGGTGGTGAGGTAGATCGTGAAGTAATCACCTTGCCCTTATCTGATGCCTCTTGAAGAAGAGAAGAGTCAGGCTGAATGACTATAAAATAAGCGCTACTGGGGAGGCAACCCAAGCTTTAAACCTTATCTTTTGATTTTTCTTTTGTAGTTTAGTTGTTTTGGTGAAGTTATGTGTAATCTTGTCTCTTTTGTAGGTTAACAAGAAGATATGAGGAAGTATAAGCCTTTGGAGAAGCAAGAAATGTGGCCAAAGAATAAAAGAGCACAAAAGGAAGGAAAATTTCAGGGAAGTCAAGCTATTTAAGTTGTTTTTATGCTTATAAACTTGTCTTGGCAATTATTTTGAGCTTATTGAAGTAAATGCAATTTTTTGTGGTTTGATTCCTATGAAAAATGGTTCTTTTTAGGGGTTGATTGCATCTAAATTAAAGGAAATTGTGTATAGTTGATGAATAATGGTTAGAGATTGATTTTGGAGCAAATTGAGTGCTTGGAAGAGGTTTTAAGGGGTAAACAAATCAGATTTTTGAAAGCAGGGTGCTGCAGAATTTTGCTGTCAAGAAAGTTCTAACAAAAGTCATGACTTTGGGCTCACAACTTTGAGATTCCAGAGAAGGTCAAAGTCGTGACTTTCATTTTAGTCTTAAATCCAAAGTCACGACTTTCATCTCCTCTGGACCTGTTTGAAAAAAAAAATTTAGATTTTTTTTATATAATATTAATAACAATAATATATATAATATTTATATATATATATATATATATATTTCTTTTCTTTTCTATCCTTTTCTTTTCTTTCCCTTATGTGTTATAAAATATATATATATATATATATATCTATATAGATATTTATATAGATATAATATCAAAAAAAAATTCCTTCTTCTTCTTATCCTTCCAGTTCTGCAGCTCTCTTTAAAAAAAAACATATTCTCCCTCTTCTTTTCATTCCAGCGTCTGTAGCTGGTCTTAGTTTAAAAAAAAATTTGTTCAATTTTGAAAAAAAAAACCTCAGCTCCCTTCATTTGTTTTTCCTTTTCTCTCTTTCCTCATTTCTACAGACTTTCATTTCAGTCTCTTATCTCCCTCCACCGCTGCCCTATCTCAGTCTCTCATCTCCTCTCGCCTTCGTCATCACCTTGTTGACTCACTTCCACCGGCAACCATAGCATTTCCTTTCTCATCTCCCAGCTTCATTTTCCACAACCACCGTCTACTTCTTCCACTTCCTCTTTGCCATTCGCCCAAGATATCACCACTGTAGCTCACCTTCATGGTTCACTGTAACTCCATAGTCGTTGCCTCTGTCTCTGCACCAAGATCCTGAGCTTCATTCTCAAGTGGTGGAGCTATGAGTCCTCTCTCTCCCCCTTAACGAGCTTCAATCTCAGCTCTGCTCAGTCCTTCACTGTCAACCTTGTGTTATCATTGCCGTCAGTGTTTGGTCCACTCGTCTTCACCATTGTCTCCATCATCGCTGCTATAGCTTCTCCATCAATTGGAAGCTTCCTAGTTAGTGTCATCTTTTTTCCTTCTCTTTCCTTCTCTGCCTCTCCCATAGCTATTTTATTCAAATCCCTTTAATCTCTCCGGTGATTCCTTATATCACTGTTAAACCTTATCCCCTTGTTTGCTACCAATATTTTGTCACATTCCCTCTTTCTAGTTGCAATCTCACTTTTCTCCCTTGTGTTTTAAGATCCATGCTTTTGCTCACTAAGTCCGAACCCTGTTATGTTACTTAATTATTTTAATGTTGCTGGGCATTCTTTCTTCTTTGAGGAACTGCTTCAAATAAGCTGAGAAATTGTGAAAATGAAATCTATATTCCAAGGGCAATAGCATAGGCGTTTTCTGATTGTATTAGTTGAACTATGATTGAGAATTTCTAGAATGATGTTCTGATTTGATTACCATTGTCATCGAGAAATATTTGCTTTAAGATAGCTTTGCTGCGGTGTTGGGAATTTTGTTATGATGCGTGTTTGATCCTTGACCATAACTTATTTTGTCCTAAGCCACATTGAGACTTTTAGCTAATGATAACTAGTTCTGGGAGTTGAGTGCCATTTTTAAACACAAATTCATAGTCTCTAGATACTCATTGTGGTATTTTATTGTACTGAAAAGTATGTTTTTATGCCTCAAGATAGCTTGCAATTCTAGTAATACTCCTTGGATAATTACTTTGGTTGCTCAATTTTGTCTCAACTGGAGGTTAAAGTTGATGACTGCATTGCTAAATCATGGTTAAAGCTCTTAGTTTGAGATTTATTCTGCACTGAGCCTTGCTTTGGAGTTAATTACTATTATACAATAGATAAACTCAATTTATTATTGTCAGTTGAGATTGGGAAATTTCTATTTTGGAATATGGATATATGATAACTGGATATAAGTGGCTGATTGTCCCAATTTTAACCTTTTAAACAAGAATGAGTTGAGTTTGTCTTGTTGGATGCTTTAATACTTGAATTGGGCTCCTTAAATATGGCTATTGAAAATTTCAAATTGCTTGAGGCATGTTTTGTAAGTTCTATGATTCAAATTGACAAGAATTATGCAATCATGTTGCTGTTTGGTTCTAAATTTGGATAGTAAGCAAGTATGCTGCACTGAATTTTAAACTCTATTCCTTTTTTTTTCCTCTCTCAAAGTTTTATGGGTGTGATTGGCTATTTATGTATTGACAATTCCATTTTTGGCTTACTTAGAAGGATAAAAAGAGTGATATGATGTTGGCATACTTGTACAAGTTGATTTTGGTAAGCATAAATGAGCTATATTTCTTTGGTTGAATGCTGTTATTATGAAACTTGAGCTTATGATTATGACTTATGCTCAACACTCACTGTCATGCTTCTTGATTCTGGACTTGGCTTTGCTCTTCATGTTTTAAATCCTTAGTTCAAATCTGTTATATGGAAGCTAGACCTTGTTTAAACATGTTATGTAAAGTGCCATTTTGTGCTAGCTTCATTTAATCATGTTTGCTTTAAGTTTGAACCTTTATTCTTCCTTATACTGGCTGTTGCTCATTAGTATTGCATTGAGTGCTTTCTTGTAGGTAATGGGTAAGAAAAGTGTCCCTCTTTCCAAAAAAGCTAAGGTCATTGAGGTTGGTGAAAGTTCTAAGGGATTGGGATGGGATAAAACTCGATTTGCCACTGCTGCGATTCAAGAATATTTTGAGAAAAATTTAAAGGAGAGAAAAATAGTTCAAGAAAGACCCTTCCCTTTGAGATGGTCTGAGCAATTCTACAATGATTTGCATGATGTGTATCATACTACTAGCCTCATCCGTGAGCAGAGCCATGCCTTTCAACCGCTTGTAGAAGCTTACTATGCCTACGCTGCTTGCAAGGATACCTTACTATGTAAGGTACGGGGTAAATAGGTAGAGATCACTGAGGATACATTTCGAAAGGTGTACAACCTTTCTCCCATAGAAGAGTGCCAGTATACCATTTACAAGAATAATAGAACTCAATTGCCATTTGATGATGTAGTCCGAGTGCTATGCCTTCCTGACAAAAATATTTGGCAACATGACACCCATGGCAATCCTAAGAGTATTATGCGCTGTAATCTAAACAGGACAACTCGTATATGGTGGTACTTCTTGGCATCTAATATGATCCCAGTGACCCATATGAGCGATGTGACTGTTGATCAAGCTGTCCTGTTATATACCTTGATGATGAGGCAACCTGTTAACTTTCCAAAAATCATGTTTGAGTATATGCGAAAGTTTCCTAGAAGCAGATATTGCAAGCAGCCATTTGGGTTCCCACACTTGATTACTCAAGTGTGCTTAGAGAAGAAGGTTCCCACTTATCTGAAGGATCTCATGCTTCCTCCTTTGCCAAAGTTCAATTATAGAGAAATGCAATGTGCTAAGGGACCAAGAGGGGTACCGGATCAAGCTGCAGATGGTAGGAGGCATATTGATCCACCTCATGTTGAGCCTACACTGAGCAACCTCATAGCACTCATCCAAAACATGCATGAGGGCCTCCAGAGCCAGCTGGATCGGATTGACTTCGGGCTCCACCACATTGAGTTATTCTTGCATCAAAGATTTTAGATGGACTTGCCAAAGGAAGAAAAGGTGGCCAACACTGATGTTGGCTAAGACTCAAACACTCATGCTGACTAGCTTCACCCTTCCTTACTTTACTGCCTTTTATTTCTGATTTTAATTCTAATTAGCTGTTGATTAGTTCTTTTTAGGTAAATATGGTTAGCCATGATCTTCTGATATCTTTTGTGCAGGGCTAACTTTGATCTTTTTGTAGCTAATATGTGATACCTTGATTAATCTCTTGCAACTAATTACTCTATGATAACTTGTGTACATGCTGGTATAGTTAGTTGTATTTTTGGATTGCCTGTGGATATATCTCAATTATACTGTTACAAGTTTCTATATTTTTGTGCCTTTCATGCACCTTCTTTTTGGTTGTTAAGTTGCATGAGAGAGGGCCTTCATTTTACCCTTTTGACAGTGCGAACACTGTTCAATTTAAGTTTGGGGGTGAGGGTATTATTTTGATTGATTTGACATGAACTTCAATTTTGAAACTTAGCTATTTATTGTTCCTCTTTTCTGAAATTTGAGCTAGATTGAGAAATGATTTGTTGAACAAAATGCGTGACCCAATGATAGAATGTTGCTTAAATTGTATGTTTTATAGGAAGTTGTGATAAATATTTTGGCATGCTTGATTTGTAGGGTTAAGGCTTGCTTTCTAATAATTTGTGAAATTTTCTTTTGCACTTTCGAACCAGACAATGATTTGAATGCCTCTATTAGGAAATTTTGTGGCAAGTTTATGTACATTTTCTTTCTCAATTGAGAAACTCTAGAACCTATCTTGAAATCTCTTGAGGCATTTTAATCACTTTGCATGATATTAAAATTTGATTTCGGCATTCTTTCAAATGCATTTGAGCCTTTCAAGCCTACCTATTGCATCATTTCCACTTGAACCCCTTTTTGAGCCTGGAATTGAAAATCGTATGTATTTTCTTTTTGAAACCTACATTAGACCCTAGCCTCTACAACTTGAAAATCTATGAACTACCTTACTCTTAAGATAAGTGATAAAAAAAATTGTTGTGCTAGTGGGGAAGATTGGTTTAGTTATTCAAGGAGGTGTTGTTGTTGTAAATTTAGGTGTGAGGAATGGAAATGAAGTTTGAAATTCTATTAATTGTGCTCCTAAAAAAAGTATAAAAAAATAAAAATATACATGAAAAAAAAATTGCAAAAAAAAAGAGTTTCAATTTCAATAAATTGGGAGTACAAGGAATGATATTTGAGATAAGTTTGGGGGAAAGTATTTGGCTAGTAAGGATGGAATGGTTGGCTTCTCATTGTCATTTATCTCAAGCTCTTTGAATTCCATTTATCCTTTCATTTCAATTAGCCCAAAATCTTCGACCACGCTACAAGCTTACAAAGTCCCATTGATTTTGAATTATGTGAAGTAATCTTTTAGTGGAGAGAGAAGAAGAGTTTAGGCATATGAAGTCTTGATATTGAGCTTGCTTCATGCATATTGAGTTGTTACATCTTGACTTGATAGTTCCAGGATAATCATTCTCTGGTCTCACACACACACATTTCTAAATTGTTGGAAAGCATGATCTTCATTTGTGAATCAAGCATTCCTTTATATTTCACTGCTATCCTCTTTAATATATATTTGGAGCAACTAGTGAGGATATTTTCATGCATGCTTAGTAGATGAATAATTGATCAATCTAGTTATTTTATTACTTGTTTTACTCAAGGACGAGTAAAAATCTAAGTTTAGGGGTGTGTTAACCTCTAGAAGTTTATGTTATTTCATCACATTTTTCTTAGATTTTAATCCATTTTGGTTTAATTGTATATGTTTTTATTGCCCAATTCAGGAAAATGTGCATTTTGTTTTGGGCTTGTGTTCTTGACTTTAATTTGATATTTTTAGCCTAATTTCTTGTTATTTTGATTGAAGTTTTGATTAGAAGCATTTCTGGAGCTTTGTGAATGTCTTTGGAAGGCTCTTGGATGAAGAGATCAAGAGCAAAATGAATATTTTCGTTAGCTGTAAAAACAGTGCAAAACTGCCAAAGTCGTCCCAAAGTCGTGACTTTCGTTCGCGACTTTCACCGCTGTTAGAAAAACGCTGCATTTCATTTATCAGAAATTAGTTGGCTAGGATACATATAAGCTGAGAGCTCGACCCAGAATGTATTCTTTAGACTTTTAGACACTTTTGGAGCTTAGTTGTGCTAGGGTTTGGGCATTGGAAGAGTTGGGATCAAGAGATTGAAGCTTTGAAGACATTTGGAGCTCATTTTTTTTTTGGTTTTTCTATTCCTCTTCCCTTTCCTCTCTTGTAATCTGAAATGGGTCCACTTATTTTGTATATTTATAGCTTGTGGATGATTATGAGTAGCTAAACCCTTTGTTCTAGGATTATTTAGAACCCTTGTATGGATTAACACTATATTTCTCCTCTCGTTTTGTGATTAATGATATATATGTGTTTAGTTTACTCTTTCCTTAATGCTTCTACTTGATTGGCCACCATTTAGATGTTGGGTTCACTTAATTGATGCTTGAAAGGGCTAGGTTGAGTGTAGAACTTGGATAAATTTGTGTAAGAACTTGATATTTGCATGTTGAATGGATGGTTTTGCTAGTAAGGTAGAGATATACTTGCTGGCCTTACATAGCCACATTAGGGTTGGTGTTTAAATTTGAGTTTTATTAATTGTAACAAGAGATTGGGCAATTAATTTAATTAAACACTTGTTCATGACTTGAGAGAGCTTGTCCAAGTATTTTTTAAACCCTAGGTTAGCATTGATTTTCATTAAAAGCATTTATGAAAGGAGGTAATTTTGGTGTTATGAAATGTAAGGGGGACAATTAATCCTAGGTCCTAAATTATGTTGGAAGTTTGTGAATCACTCACTTTTCTTTATTTTCTAGAGTTAATTTCATTTGCAAAATCATTTTCACCTAACTTTGTGTAGCTCAACTTGATCAAATTTACTTAGTCTTTTGCTTGATCATTGTTTTTGAATAAATCCTCGAGGGAATGATACTTTACTTTTATTATATTACTTGCTATGATCCGTACACTTGCAATAAGCAACAATATACACACAAGATTTTGATTCATTACACAATACTCAGAGTTCACACGGATTCAACAATTCTAAGTCGATCCTGACTCTTTTCCTTTACCCTTATCAGCACTTTGTCTTGTAAAAATGTAACCACAAGGGTGAGATAAAAATCTCAGTAACAAAATAACTCACTCCTATTGATTATCACATGCAACTATATGAAAGTAAAGCATAATATACCATTTAACATAGCACATAGCATATATTCCATCTCAAATCTCATCAACATAGCACATTGTACCACTTTCACTATTTTTCACCACTTTTCTAACATAAGCATGATCTCTATCATCCAAATCTCTGAATCACCCCAACTCAAATCCATAGACTTTCCCTAAATCAATATACAATTTCATTGGCCCTAGTGGTAGAATCATCCAGCTAAATGTATTCTATCTCACTTTTAAACTATGGTTTCCCCCAATATACATAATGGGGTGTCATTGACTCTAACACTATATCATACAAACACTAAGGAGTCCAAATCTCTAACATGGCACCTTAATAGGTACTAAGAAGATAATCTCCAATAATACACCTTGAAAGGCACTAAGGAGATACAATTTTCTAATATCACACCCCATTAGACACTAAGGAGAATATTCCATATGGTCTTATTACCACACTCCATATGGTTGAACTCCCACCCCTATGATCATGCTTTCCAAACCATTCACAGCTTACCAATCACCACTTTACTCATATATATACATATATGCATTTCCATATCAAATTCCACAATTTCATTACTTGTTTAGCCAAAATTCCATTTTATACAATAAATATTCAATGCTATAAAACATGCTCAATTCAAAATAATTTCATGTACTACATAGCCTACTCACACACAGTTACAACAAATAGTCAAACAAAGGAAGTTATTTGGTTACCTCAAACTTTCTATCACTAGAAAGGTTACCTATAGATTTCAACTATCAATATAACTTGTCACAAGCTTCCTTTCTTAACTCACATGTGTAATTTGTCAATCTAAACACAATTTAGTCATTTGGTCTAATTTAACCAAAAGTATATAACTACTACTTATGGCTATATTTAGCCATCTATTCTTTTTTATTTATCCATTCTAGATCCATTACTACTTGATTACCACTTTACATCATCTCAACTATTCTCATTTTACTCAAACACAATTTTAACCTTAAAATCTCAAAGAATTAGGGCCAAATTGAACCTATAGGTTCAAAGCTTTATCATCCAACTCTAAACTAATCGCAAAACTCTAATTTAACTCCCAAGAACCTTTTTATTACTATTTAACAAGAATCAAACCCCTTAAATTTCATCGATTCAATTTCTCTATAACTCATTTAAAGAAATTTAGGTAGAATGAAAGGTAAGAGCTATACGTAGCTTACTCGCTAAGTTATTGATTAGAAGCACCTTCCACGGCTCCGAAATCTATTACCCTAGCACACCCTTCACTCTTCTGCTCTCCCTTTCATATGTTTCAAATTTCTCCCTTCTGAATTTCATGAAATTTCATGACTTATGGAGTCATTTTCTGGTCCATACACCACAGCACACGGCACAATGAGAAGAATTCTCACTACGCACACACGCATTGACCCGAAACATGATCCTTCTACCTGTATCTGTTCATACAACATCCCAGCAAGTCAAACTATCAAATAATCATCCAAATCTCTAATCCTACACTAATTACCACTTTACCCCTGATTAATAGCTAATCACAGGATTAAGAAATTCAAGATATTACACAGATACATAGGTAGTGATGCAAACCCTAGATTACTATCGCACTAAAATTTTAGAAAATTATAGAAGAAAGAAATCCAAAATAAAGGTATAGTAGTGTGTTCATATGTAAAAATCTAAACTGAGATGGTGAAGTTTGGTCAAGTACACATATATGTG